TCTAGGGAAGCCTCAATCTATGAAAGTGTGATTCCCGAGCTAATTCCCGAGCACATACCGGCCCTTATTAATGAGTTCTTGTGTCCTTCGTGCTCGGGTATTTTACATTGTTTGCCCTTATTGGTATTTCATATGTACTTGCACGGGGCAAGGCTTTGATTTGCTTGCTCGAGGCAAGGCTTTGAGTGTGCTTACTCGGGATAAGGCTTTGAAGTGCTTGCACGAGGCAAGGCTTTGATTCGTTTGTTCAGGACAAGGCTTTGAGTGCTTGCTCGGGACAAGGCTTTGAAGTGCTTGCACGGGGCAAGACTTTGATTTGCTTGCTCGAGGCAAGACTTTGAAGTGCTTGCTCGGGACAAAGCTTTGATTTGCTTGCACATAACAAGGCTTTGATTTGCTTGCAAGGAGCAAGGCTTTGAAGTGCTTGCACGGAGCAGGCTTTGATTTGCTTGCTTGGGGCGAGGCTTTGATTTGCTTGCTTCGGGCAAGGCTTTGAACCGCTTGCTCCGGACAAAGCTTTGAAGCGCTTGCACGGGGAGGCTTTGATTTGCTCGCTCGGGACAAAGCTTTGAAGTGCTTACTCGGGACAAGACTTTAAAGTGCTTGCACGGGGCAAGACTTTGATATGCGTCGGGGCAAGGCTTTGAAGTGCTTGCACAGGGCAAGGCTTTGAAGTACTTGCACGGGGCAAGGCTTTAATTTGCTTGCTCGGGGCAAGGCTTTAAGTGTTTGCTCGGGATAAGGCTTTAAAGTGTTTGCACGGGATAAGGCTTTGATTTGCTTGCTTGGGGTAAGGCTTTGAGTGCTTGCTCGGGACAAGGCTTTGAAGTGCTTACACGGGGTAAGGTTTTGATTTGCTTGCTCGGGGCAAGGCTTTGATTTGCTTGCTCGGTGCAAGGTTTTGAAATGCTTGCTCGGGATAAAGCTTTGAAGTGCTTGTATGGGGCAAGACTTTGATTTGCTTGCTCGGGATAAGGCTTTAAAGTACTTGCACGGGGGCAAGGTTTTGAAGTGCTTGCACGGGGCAAGGCTTTGACTTGCTTGTTCAGGGTAAGACTTTGATTTGTAGTGATCATATCATCGAATTTAACTTTATCTGTAATATAACTCTATAAATGGACTTGGCACGCAGGCTTTATTAATGATAAAAAATAGACTTGGCACGCAGGCCTTATTAACGATAAAAATAGACTTAGCGCGCAAGCCTCATTAACGATAAAAATAGACTTAGCACGCATGCCTTATTTCTAAAACATGGTGGAGCGTGTTACTTGTAATATACCTTTAAGTTTTCAGTGTTCCACGGTCTTGGGAGTGGTATTTCCGAAGTATCATTTAAACTGTTTGCACCTCTTGGGAGCTGTCGTATGATTTCAAAGGGCCCTTTCCAAACTGGTCCGAGTTTTCACAGAGCATGACCAGCGACTTCAACCCTTCTCAACACCAAACCTCCAGCTCTAAATTTTCGCGGCCTTACCCTTCTATTAAAATACTTTCCTGTTCTGTCTTGGTAAGAGACCATTCTTAAGGTTGCCTGATCACGAACTTCTTCCAAGAGGTCGAGATGTTCAGTGATGTGCCCTGTTTCTTCGAGATTAAGTCTTCTTTAGCTGGGTAACCTTATTTCAACGAGAATGGTAGCTTCGATTTCAAAAGCTAACATGAAGGGGGTCTTCCTGGTGGCGATCCTGTGGGATGTTCTATATGTCCAAAGTATGGAAGGCAACTCGTCAAGCCAGGAACCTCTTGCATCTCCAATCCTTATTCGGATGTCTTGCAATATAATCCGATTGGTGACCTCGACTAGACCATTACTTTGGGGATGAGAAACTGATATCAGGCGGTGGTCAGCCTCTAGGTTGGAACAGAAATCCTTGAATTGTACATTATCAAACTGCCAGCCATTATCAGTTATAAGGACCTTTGGTATCCCGAACCTGCGTATGATAGACCTCCAAACGAAAGCTCTTATCTTAGGCTCTGAGATCGTTGCTAAGGGCTCGGCCTCTACCCACTTGGTAAAGTACTCAACTGCTATAACTACAAACTTTAATTGTCCCCTAGTTATTGGAAATGGACCGAGGATATCAATCCCCCATTGCTCAAATGGGGCCAAGCAACTGATGTTGGTGAGGTCCTCTGCGGGAAAACGAATAACATTGCCAAACCTCTGACACTTGTCACACTTCTTCACATATTCCATGACATCCTTCTTCATTGAAGGCTAGTAATATCCGTACCTTATGAGTTTAAAGGCTAATGCCCGAGCTCCTTGATGGTTCCAACATACTTCTTCATGAACTTTCTCTAGGGCTTAGGAGGACTCCGAAGGCTTAAGGCACCTAAGGTACGGAAGTGTGAGCCTTCTGCGAAATAAGACCTCATCAATAATGTAATACCTTGGAGCTTTTGATCGGACGCTCCTTGCTACCCGAGGATCTTCTGGAAGATTGCCATTTATTATGAAATCCACAATTGGGTCCATCCATGATGGCTCATGATCGATGTTGGTTGGATTGATGCTAGCCTCGGTCACAAATCTGACATGTACTGTCATATCAAGTCCATCTACTCCCAAGAACACCAGCCTTGATAAGGCATCTCCCTTGCAGTTGTCGGCCCGGACAATCTTCACAATTTCACACCTCTTCAATTTTCGTTGGAGATCATGAACTTTTGAGCAGTATATGCTCATTTTTTCGTCTTTCTTCTCGAATGTACCGTTAATATGGCCAACCACCAACTGGGAATCACTAAAAATTTAGATGCCTTCAAGTTCGAGACTAATGGTAAGTTCTATGGCTATAATGACAGCCTCATACTCTTCTTCTAGTTGCCTCGAATTCGAACCTAAGTGCACACTAAATGTCTATGAGCATGTCTGGGCTCGTGATGATGACCCCAGCACCCGATCCCGAGGAGTTTGATGCTCCATCTATGAAAATTTGCCAAACATCTGTTGTAGTGCTTGAGATCTCATCTGGCCCCCGAGGCCTTGGGGTGAGTTCTGCAATGAAATCCGCTAAGACTTGAGCTTTGATGGACGGACGGGGTTTGAACTCTACGTCAAACTCTCCAAGTTCAATTGCCCACTTTAGTAACCTGCGTGAGACGTCTGGCTTTTGAGGGATGTATTTCAAAGGTTGGTTAGTGAGCACCATAATGGGATGAGACTAAAAATATTGCTGAAGCTTTCGTGCTGCTATTCTTAGGGCAAGGGCAAGTTGCTCGGCCAAAGTGTATCTGGTCTCTGCATCAAGTAGGACTTTACTTACATAATAAATGGGTTGCTGGGCTCTGCTGACCTTTTTCACCAAGACGTCGCTCACTGCATTTTGAGACACAGCTGAGTACAATAACAAAGTATCCTCGGGCTCTGGTTTAGTGAGGAGAGGAGGAGACGCCAATGTCTATTTGAGTTCCTGAAAAGCCTTCTCACACTCCTCATTTCATTCAAAGGATTGACTGTCTCTAAGAACTTTGAAGAAAGGGAAGCATCTATCTGTTGCCCGGGACATGAACCTGTTTAGGGCTGCTACCCTACCTGTCAATTTTTGGACTTCTTTATTAGTCCTAGGTGATTTCATTGCTACCAAGGCTTGGATCTTATCAGGGTTTGCTTCTATCCCTCGGTGAGTGATCATGAAGCCTAAAAATTTTCCCGAAGCTACACCAAACAGACACTTCTCTAGGTTGAGCTTCATCCAATTTTCTCGCAGGGTGGCGAACACCTCCCCTAGGTAGGATATGTGCTGCTCTACCTTCTTACTCTTTACCACAATGTTGTCAACATAGGTTTCGATGTTCTTCCCTATCAAATCAACAAAGACTTTGTTAATGAGCCTCTAATATGTTGCCCCAACATTTTTCAACCTAAATGGCATCACCCTATAGCAGTATATGGCAGAATCAGCTATGAATGAAGTCTTCTCTTGGTCTTCTACAGCCATGAGGATTTGATGATACTTTGAGAATGCATCTAAAAAGCTATACAACTTATGTCCGGATGTGCTATCCACAAGATTGTCAATCCTGGAGAGCGGGTAGCTGTCTTTAGGTACGCTTTATTGAGATCTGTAAAGTCGGTGCAGACCCTCCATTTACCACTGGCCTTCTTCACAACAATAATATTAGCGAGCCGATCGGGGTATTGGACTTCCCTTATGAACCTCCCTCTCACCAGTTTGCAGACCTCTTTCTGAATCACCACACGTCTTTCTGGCGTAAAATGCCTCTTCCTTTACTTAATAGGTCTGGCCCATGGGCTTATGTTGAGTCTATGGACTACTACTTTCAGACCCTCCATTTACCACTGGCCTTCTTCACAACAATAATATTAGCGAGCCGATCGGGGTATTGGACTTCCCTTATGAACCTCGCTCTCACCAGTTTGCAGACCTCTTTCTGAATCACCACACGTCTTTCTGGCGTAAAATGCCTCTTCCTTTACTTAATAGGTCTGGCCCATGGGCTTATGTTGAGTCTATGGACTACTACTTCAGGGTCTATCCCTGGCATATCCTCGACCTTCCATGCGAAAACATCAATGTTGCGGGAGAGACAACTGATGACTTCTTCCCGGAGGCCAACTTTGAGATCCCGACCGATTGTTACCCTTTTTCCATGCTCGAGCTCGACCACTTCCAATTCCTCAACAGGAGAAAGTCTACCCCTTGGCTCGAGCTCAAGCTTTGAAATTTGCATGACGTTTGTACTCATTCCTCGGATGCTAGTAACATAGCATTGTCTGGCAGTGATTTGGTCTCCTCGAACTACTCTGATGCCATGACCTGTTGGGAACTTCATGGCTAGGTGGAAAGTTGATACAATAGCTTGGATCTTATTCAGTAGGGGTCTTCCAAGGATAATTTTGTAAGCCATAGGAGTGTTAACCACTTTGAAAGGCGCAATCTCGATCACTTGTGCATTGTCAAAACCCAATGTAAGCGGAAGCTCGACGATGCCTACGGGATAATTACTCCACCACCAAATCCCTGTAGAGGAGCTTTTACTGCTTTGAGCTGTTTGGGAGAGATCCTCGTTTTAGCAAAAGCCTCCTGTGATAGTATGTTTGCTGCACTTCCATTATCAATTAGAATCATCTTTACTTCAAAGTTAGCCACAATTGCAGAGACAACCAGTGCATCGTCATGAGGCTATGATACTCCTTCCAAATCTCTTGTCCCATAGGTAATGTCTTCCAGTTTATCACAGGATTCCCTTGAGGTATGAGCATGTTGGCGGGCATATTGTTTTATCCCACTACTTGTATCTCCTCCAGATGCTATGCCTCCAATGACAATATTAATGGTCTCGACAATGGGTTGAACACTGCTTCCGGCTCCAGGCTCTTTCCGATTGTCACGATCATTCCTCGGGCGTTTATCATAACCAATATAATTCTTTAAGAGCCCTCTTTTAATGAGGGTTTCAATTTCCCACTGCAATGCTTGATAATCCTCTGTGATATGCCCATGATCTCGATGAAATTCACAATACTTGCTCCTATCTCTTGTGTCAGGGGGTGACTTCATTCTTGAAGGCCACTTTAACTCTTTCGTATCTTTGATCTCCATTAAGATATTTGCCTTGGAGGTGTTCAACCGAGTGAAAGGCCCTGATGGCCCTTCATTCTTGCGCTTTTCTCGAGGATGCTCTGGTTGGGAAACAGGATCATATTGCTTCTTGTTCTCGGCCTTTTCATGGAAAGGACCAGATCTCCTTGGATTCAACATTTCCTCCATATTAATGTATTTTTCAGCTCGGGTAAGGAGTTCGGTCACTGTCTGTGGTGGGGTCTTTGATAAGGACATCTTGAAGGCTTCACATCTTATGGCTTAAGTGAGGGCTGAGACAATCGCTGTGATGTGCAGGTCAGGTATTTGAAGCCTTTCTTTGTTAAACCTCGTCATAAAACCTCGTAAGGTTTCATTTAGTCCCTAACGAAGTTGCATGAGAGAGGCCGCAGTCTTTCTGATATGTTTACTACTTGAAAAGAAGGCTGAGAACTTATCAGCCAAATCTGAGAATGAGGCTATGGAGTTGGGCTCCAATGTCGAGAACCAATCCATGTAGCATTAGTCAGCGTTTGTGGGAAGGCTTTGCACATAACTTGATCCGAAGCAACTTGCAAATTTATGACATCGGTATATACATTGAGATGGTTGATTGGGTCGATCGTCCCATCATACTCTTTAATGCGAGGATGTCATACCCCGAACTTCACGTTCTACATTTGGCCAATATGATTCATGCATTCCATGCTAATTACATTGTGATTTGCATCAATTTCCTAATTGCTTTATCTTAAAAACATATGTTTGATCATCGAGATTTTAAAATCTTTATATAGTGATGATCTTTGACTCCTTGACCTAAGTAGTGAATTTCACATTAAGCTATGATAGAAAATTAGGTTAACTAAATGTTAAAGATTAGCTTGGTACGTAATGGAAATCGAAAAGGTCGAAAATTAGTATCAACAAAGGTTCAAGCTTTCCATTCAGTGGATCGAGGTCATCTTAAACCCTATATAGGTAATTGACACATTTGGAATGTAAGGCATGAAGTGGCATGATCACAACGCAATAATATATGTCTCATATGATATTATAAATATTGAGGGGCGAAATGTTGAAATCGGTTGAGAATCAAGTGTCAATCGGGTAAGAAATTAAATGAACGGTTGAGAAATTAACTCTATAAAATACTTTGGGATCTTAGGACAAGTGAAAGGGATTGTAAGCATGTCAAAATAAGCCAAGGATACTTGATTTGTAGCTGCAACGATAGATATAAAATCAGATTTTTGCTACAAGTGACCACCTCTTGCTTGTACACCTCGTGCTTGGGATGTTTGTCATTTTAACACTCAATTTCTTCAACCTTAAGGCATCAATCTCGTGTATACTCCCTGAACTCTTAATATAGGATAGATATATATCTTAAAAGTCACAAATGAATCCAAATATAATGGTTGAAAGTCAAGTATTGCTGCTATGAAAACACCTCATGCTCAGACACCTCATGCTTGGGGTATTTTGACATTTTAAC